GGAGTTAGACAAGGTGATCCTCTCTCACTACTGCTATATGTATTAGCTTTTGAGCCTCTTATAAGAACTCTGGAAAAACAAATGTAAGGAATTAAATTAGAAAATTAATATTTCAAAACCTTAGCATATGCTGATGGCTTGACTATAGGAATTGGATCTTCTTTTGACTGAAACAAAGTACAAGCTTCGATAAGCTTATATGAGGTTGCTTTAAATGTAAAAATCAATAAAATAAAAACAAAACTAGTCTTACTTACTTCTACTGCACAAAGAATAAAGCTCTGTAATAAAGATCAATTCATTAAATTAGAGAAACAAGACACTATTACTACCTTAGGTTACAATGTTCTTATAAATGGTCAATTAAAAAAAAGATCTTTGGGTTACAACTACTAATAAGCTAAAAGGATCCTTTAACAAATTCTCAAATAGAAACCTCTTCTTTAAAGGAAAAATTCTTATCACAAATTCACTTATTCTATTTAAAATTTGGTATTCAGCCTATCTGCTATCTCCTAACAGAAAGCAAGTAGCAGAAATAAATAGAATTATCTTCTTTTGGATCAAAAGTTCTTCACAAATGCTTTTCAGATATTCAACTTTTTAACAACCTATAGACTTAGCAGGACTTTAAGCTCCAATTATTAAAGATATGTTAGATGCACATTTAATCTCCATTTGGATAAAACTCTTTACCTCAAACTCAATATAAGCACTATATGAAAGAAGCAAAATAAGCAAAATGCTTAGAGAAAAAAGAAACATCTCTCTAATACAGGCTCTAAATTTAGACAATATATGCTCAAAAGCTTGGCTTACAGAATAAAAACCCTATCTTTTAGCTTGGACAAAAACTAAAGAAAGAATCCTTTCTACTACCAACTAGCCTTGGGACAAAAAAGAAATTATAATTGATAAAATGAAAGGAGATAAGTTCTCAGTTAAAAAAATCTTAAAGCTCTTAAAGAAAACGACTCCATTATCTATCTCTTTGCATTCCATACTTCAGACTATACAAGCTACTTGGCTTTCTTTAAAGTCAATATGCAACAAGAAAAAAGATATTTTTTGGCAGCATTTTTACAGAACTCTTCCTCTAGGATATTGTCTTAAACATATAGGGCTATTCGAAACAGACAGCTGTATTTGGTGTTCAGAAGAGCTACAAACTCTTAAACATTTTGCTCTTAAGTGTCCTAGAAGTATAATAATCTGGAAGAAGACATATAAGTTTTTAAATTTTAATGAAGAAAAACCTATACCAACCAATCTGAAGAACATTTTTTAGGCCTCAAATATTGACTGCACTCAAGCATTAACTACTATAACCTGTCTACATATTAATATAATTTATAAAATTTGGTGTCGATATACTGCTTTAAAATGGAGAGGTTCTAATACTCCTTTGAACTCCTTTAGTATACTAATCAAAGCTTATATTTCAAAAAAATACATGTTTTAAAACACAACATACTAGGTCATAGACCTAAAACTGCTAAACTAATCTGTAAATATCTAAAATATATCTAAATTGTTCATAATTATTTTAATATAATAATACTTTAATAAAGAGTACCACCTGTGACCTTATTTGCTAAAAGCAACAAGAATATTCAAAAAAAAAAACATTAGTAGAGGGTTAAAATACACAGATAAAAATAGAATTCTCAAGAAGAAGAATATATTTTGAATAATAAAGATAATTAACTTAGTTAGAACAAAAAACATATGAATAAAGTAATTTAATGTGTAAAGTTACAACAAAGACAGATAGAATAATAAAGCTGATAGCCTCACAAAAAAAGAAATAGTAAATAAAAAGATTATATATATAGAAGAAGTCAATTATAAAGAAATAGAGTACTGCTTGAAGTAGGAAAACAAATAAATAAATATACTAGCAAGACTTTTATATAAGCTAGTAACAAATGCCAGACTGAATGCAAAATGAAGAGAAACAACAGTAATCAAGAGTTTAGAACTGATAACAGAAATAATGATTTATGACTAAATGTATTTTTAGAAAAAACTGAAGTCAACCAAAGGAGTGTATTGTACAATAAGAAGAAGTAGCACAAGAAGAAGTATATTCATAAAGTGCATATTGGACAAACTTTTGATATTAGAAAAATTTAATAAAAGAAGGTCAGATTTATATATAAATACAGAATGCCAAATATATTAAAATAAAGTTAAAGAAATACAAGAATATTTGGCAGTATATAAGAGACAAGTATGCCTTTGAAAGAGAATACAAAAAGTGTCTATTGCAACAGTATAGAAAAAACTAAAAAAAGAAAAAAAACCAGAGTTCCACTTTATTTATTATATACAGCATTCTTTAGAAAAACAGAAACAAAAAAAATAAAAATAAGTAAAGTATTAATTAAAAACCTAATTCCAAAAACAACTCAAGAAAGATTTGCATGACTTCTAGATACAAGAACAAGACAATGATTTGTTAATACATTGACAGAAACAGTTTGGAATATTTTTTATAAGCAAGTTTAGAAAACATAATATAAAAAAGTCAACAAATAAGAAAAAAAAATAGGAATAACTAGCAAAATGAAAAAAAGAACTCAAAAGAAGAAAAAGAATCCAAGCAAAAGAAAAAAGACTAGTTAGCAAGAAGTAAAAGAGAAAAAAAAAAGCAAAAGAGGAGAAAAAGTGAATCCAAAATAAAACCAAAAAAACAATTTTAGGACTTGTTATAAAAGGGTAAAGACCTTTTCATTATGAACTTTAAGTAGTTAGACAAGCAGTTTACTTTTACTTGAAGTAATATAGCAAGTTGTATTTAGGTACCATTAGGATGGCTAGGTGATACTAAGCTTAGTTGTTAGGTATATCTATGTAATTGCAATAGTAATTTCAAAAATTTTAATAAAGTACTAGCATAATTACTTAAATAAAAAAAAATTAACTAGAAATTATTTGATCAAATTTATAATTAATTACTAATTTAATTAATACTAAATTTTAATATATTAAGATCTTATGCAAATTATATAGTTTGCAAAAAAGAAAAAGAAGATTTGAACTATTTAACAATATGCTCTTTTTACAAAAACTGCTAAACAAAAACAGAAGCATTAGTAATAATAATATTATAGAGCATATTTTCAGAAGATAAAAAAAAAGTATTATTTAAATATAACTAAAAAAAGCAATTTGAGATCAAACAAAAGAAGAAAGAACAAAAGTAAAAAAAAAACTTATTAAAAATCTTTTATAAAAGAAAATAGTTAAGAAGGTACAAAATATTTTAATTTCAATACAAGAAATAAAAAACTTTCTAATAAATATAGTAGATACCATATAGAATAAATTTTATGAAACAATCTGAAAGGAAAAATGCAATAAAGTACCTAAATGAGAGAAGAATTAAGGAATCAGTACAAGAAAGAAAAGGAACAAGAACAAAGCTATAGAATAACAAAACAAACTATTATATAAAGTATTATCAAAATCAAGAAACAAAAACTTAGAAAAAACAAATAATATAAAAAAAAGAAAAGAGACAGTAAATAAAAAAATAAAAAACTTATAGAGAAATACAATTAGAAAATTAATCAATAATAATAAGAGACCTTACTAAAATACTTTCAAAGACTAATCTGAATAATTCTTTAATAGTGAGTATAAACTTAATCTAATGTAACAAGTCAACTCTGAATACTTATACAATAGCTGAGAGATGTCAAACTTAAAAATTAAACTAATATTTGTATAGTTATATATGCAATTCTCTTAATAAAGGATTTTGACAAGGCTGTCAAAGAGTTAAAAAAAATATATATATATTAAAATCTTAAAATTTTGAACATAATTTTAATTTTTTATTAATTTTTAACTAAATCCAATCAAATTTTTTTATTTTTTAAAAAATTAATTAAAACTTCATCTAAAATTTTTCTTGTAATTAAAAAATGAGCATTATTTTATGGTGGCGGGTCATCATGGCGACCTTATATGACTGGTCAATCAAAACTAAGCATGTGACTATATAATAAGTTGTTTACTATTGACCAACTAAAATTAACTACGAATTTTCTAAATTTTATAAAAAATAAATTTTACGAACCCTAAATATGATTGGCTGCTATATATAGGGTCGCCATGGTGACGGGTCGCCATTCATAATTTTTCTTAAAAAAACTATCAAAAAAAAATACATAAACTAAGTTAATTGATTACTAATTTTTTTGGAAAGTCTCGAGATTATAAGACATCCAGCGAAACGATATAAGGTGTGAGAAAACTTTTGTCTGGTATTGTATATAAATTAAAATAAGTGTCGTTAAATTAAAACCTGTAAGTAAAAATTTTAAATTTTCTTCGTATCGGACTTGATCAAAAAATTTTGAACAGTCATTTGTCAGATTTTAATTCCGCCAATCTGCTGCGATGTTTGATTCATAGTACGTTAGGATTTTTAGAGTTAAAGTTATCGATATTTTATGGTAAAGACTTTTGCTGGTATTAATTTAATTACAAATATAGTTGTTTTTATAAATGAGTTTTTATTCGTGACAATTTAGTTAAAATTTAGAATTTCGATTAACCAATACGTAACCGATAATATACAATTAATTAATACGGTTAAATCATATGATTATACAGCTAACCAATAAAATTAATTAAAAGCATGTAACAATCATAACTAATTACCTAATTCAAAATTCGGGTCATTACTATATGTATAATACGTTGCACTAAACTAATATATTATCTAAATATTGCTGTATTGTAGCGAATTTGGTTCTGATCACGTGATTGAAAGTTATGCCAGTGTACCCAACACTGATCTAACCATAAACCTAATAATAAAGTTTCATTTATTTTATGTACTATCTGATATTAAGACGATACGAAGTAATTTTAAAAAATTAATTGTATATAGTATAAAATATGATTGGCTAGCTGCAGTTCCTTAATTTTTTAATGATTTATGATGGTATGATCATTTCTTTTTACAATATATTTATTTATGAAGTTTAATTCTTAACCAAATCAGACGCTTGAACAAAAACACCTACATCTATTCCCGCCTTCATTCGTCGTTGCTTTTCATTGCGCGCCTTGTCCTTGAGTTGAACTTGTGTGCGATTTTTCAAAGGACCGCTAGACGATCCATGCTTTTCTAATATTCGAGCCCAATGTGTCCCATATTCTCTCATACCATCTTCTAACGCCTGTAATTCTTCATTGGTCCACTTTTTACGAAGTCTACGATTGCGATTACGAGTTGAATTAATTGACGGCCTATCCAGATGCGTAAGGTTTTGTTTATGTCGGTGATCTTCATCAGCGTTTGGCGCACCACAATCAGTCATATTTACATCTTTAATGATCAATGAATTACATTGACCAATACTTTTATCCACATTGTCATTTTGTGGTTTATCTTCAGCAATTCTAGTATTATTTGGCAGTCCATTCCGCGTATTCTCTTCATCATCAATTGACAAATTTACTTGATCAATTCCTAAAATTTGATGAACCACTTGGATCAAGTCCTGAAGAAGAACTTACTTATTTTCATCTGTGATTTAAACTTATTGATTCCTGCGATAAATTGCTTAGATAAATCTTGCCCTACGGTTTCAGGTAGTAAAGGTTCTGGGGATTCCTTACACTTCATTTTGCATATACATGTGGATAGTTGGAGTTTTGTTATGGTTCTAGGTATCTACCGACAAAAAATTATGAAATGCTTAGTGGGTTATTGTTTTTAACTAAATACTTAAAGAATATTTTTTTTTTGTTTAAATAAATACTCACGAACTAATAACGACAATAAAATCGTGTTTTTTTTTTTGCAGACAACAGCATTTTCAAGTTTACGCTATATCAGGTTTATGTTACACGACATTCAAAGCAGGGCTGTATAACTCGTAGGAGGACCCCATTTCGGCGGATTCAGGCCAAGAACCCGGAAAATTATCGATTTGTTTTTTTTAAAGAGTTGTACCGTTAAATTCTTTTTTAGAATATCAGATATCTGTTGGGTACTACGTACTTATTTATGCAACAAGTTATTCTCTAAATCACTTATTTAATTGAATTAATTAGTCCTACGTATATAGTACCCTGCTTTTTGTGTTACGTAGTGTAATTAACATTCAAAAAAAGTATGTGATAAATAATATAATGATAAAATCCGCAAATTCTTAATTTACAGATTCCCCCTTTGATTAGGGCCTGGATATTACCGCCCGCCTGGCTTAATTCTTGAAGAATACCTGGGTATAACTATATTAGTTTATTACTTTCATATGATATATCTCCAAATATAGTATCCAGTTCTCTACACGGTACGATTCAAAATGAAGACCCCGGATACTGTACGTAGTGGACTTAAACACTGGTTATGATTAAACACATGATATCTCATCAAGTATAATGTGAAGATCGAAGTCTTCCAGAATATTGTCTATGAAACTGTCTCTAATAGAAAAAAATCTCTTGTGAAATTTTTGGATTAGAAAGGTGTTGATTTTTGAGTAAATAGGAACTTAGTTTGAGTTAGAGTTAATATTTAAATCCGAATTTGTATTTATATTCGGATGTATACCAATACTATCTATCGATCTAATTACAAACATGATAACGATAATAATTAATAGTTTTAATAAAATTTTGGATCAGCACTCTATATTTAAATTCTATAAAAACATGTTAATAATGTGTCTTTATCTGTCATATAATGATAACATTAGAATTTTAACTTATTAAAATATATCATGGTTAACCGGAGTGTCTATTTTACAGTTACATTGCCTTTAGTTCTTCTCATTATCTGTTATATAGCAATTGACAAACATATTGTAAATCGTTGACCGGTTTTTTTTTTTTTTTTTTTATAAAAAAATTTTAATGCTTTTGAACGAATAAATATATACATATAAAACTTAATACCTGCAAAATTTCTTTTAATATGTTCTTAAAATTAACAACACTTCTTTTTTATATTGATTAAGTGATTTGGTTTATTCTCCTTATATGAAACTGAAAAAAATAGCGTTATTACTTTAGAGAGCACGTTAAGAAAACTTCGGCAAGCATATATTTATTTATCTTACATATGAGAAGAGGTCAATAGAAAACAGGCAAATTGTTTTTAGTATCTTTTTTTTTTTGAAAATTAAATTCAAACCAAAATTGGTTAAAATTTTGTTATTTTAACCTATAATTAGGCATACAAACTTAATGAATCGGTTCTCATAACATAAAAATTTTAAAAGTGACCCGTCAACCCAGCTTTTAATTTTATATTCAAAAAAATTATATATATAAAATCCATATAAAATTTTTATAGATTTTTTAAAAAAATTCACCCGGATAGTCAGTATACTTGAAATTTTTTTTAAACTTTGACCCGGCCAGGTTATGAGAACCAATTTATTAACAGTTAAGTTTGTATGGCCTTATATAGAATTAAAAAAAACAAAATTTATATCAAGTTTGGTTTAATAATTGTTAAAAACATTTTTATATAGAAAAAATTTGCCTGTTTTCTATTGACTTCCTCCCATATGTTAAGAGTTATTTAAATTTAAATATTTATAAAAATTAAACCCGGTCAACGATTTAGTATGCATGCGTTATTTCGAGGCAATTTTCAAGCAATTTTCAGAGCTAAAAATTAATTTAGGCCAAGATTTTTTTTAAAAAAATAAAATTATTGTTTGTATTCGTCAAAAAATTAATTCTTAGCTCCACAATACGTAATGTATTATATCTCAAGACCCTGTGATAATGAGATATGGCAAATTCATCACAATACCAAATTCGTCCCTATCGCTATCTCCCTTATAATTCGTATTAGTCATCCCCTTTTATTTATTTCTTTTTCTCGTTTATATTTTTTATTTACTTATTTATATACTTGTTTATATACTTTGTTTACTTATTTACGGTTGTTTTTACTATTTAATATATATTTTTGTAAAAGTAGACGTTCTTTAGACGTGCTTTTTTATCAAAATCTTTGTCTAAAGCGGTTAAGATAAGTGTTTCATTCTTTACACACTTGTGTTCAGTTGCTACGCCTATTTAACCTTTCGTTTCTGAAAGATTCCCACTCGGGTTTCTTTCAAAGGTAAGTAGTTGGATATTTTGTCTGGTCTTATTTACTAGGTGTCAATGGTGAGCTTACCCATGTCGACTACGGTAGGCTTGCTTGCGGTGCTTAGTCTAAGTAGGATTTAGACTCACTCCTCCTGGCGAGGCCCCTTGCCCTGGTTGGTGTAAGCGCGAGGTTTTAATCCTCCCAGGGCCAAAATCATAATGTTTCGTTTTTTACAAGCCAGGTTGTAAAAAACAATGAAACATTTACACCCTCTTTCTGAGATATTCTTTTTGAATATCGATGATAATTTAGTACCAGAGTTTTTAGTGAGTAAAAATCTCACACTGTCTAGAAGATAACTTCTAGTCGCCTTTTGAAGGTTTTCTCTGGTCTGACCAAAAAAAAAAAAAAAAAATGTTAATACGATATGATTTAGCTAACGTAACTTAATTTTTTTTATATAGCTTGGCATTATCCACCATTATACGATTTAAGTTTTTTTTTTATCATTTATTAGATATTAATTTGTGGACTTGAAATTATTATTGAGTTTAACGTGTTATTTTTAAAATTTTACATTTAGAGTTAGAAACCCACCACTCAATGATGAACAGGACGAACAAGATGTTTTAACATCTATATCTCATATATTTGTGGTAATCAAAATGTTGCAAAAATTCTAGAAATTCTTGAGCGGCTTTCCAGAATGACTAACGCCAATGTTAATAAGAAAATTGATCCACAAATCTTTCGATGAATGTATAGTATACGTAGTATCAGTGTACGCTTTATACACCAAAGTTGTTTGATTCTTATTGACATGATGTCAACTCCTATTCGGTTTATCCAGTCGAAGACGTTATGTAATATTTACAGGAGGTCATATCTAACGACCGATCCGAATCATATCCTTAAGAAACTGGGTTGGAACCAAGTTTGGATCAATGCTAAAACGACATATAGTAAATGGCGGTCATTCAGTAAGTATTGTTCTTGATTCACATATTAAAAATTTTATTGCCCCATGCAGATTGCATTAATATATATATTCATACGTACGTACTAATAGATACTTTAAACAATTGTTAATGGTGCAGTAAATGACCGCCGTATAATATATGTAGTTTTTTAGCCCTGGTTCGGATCCTAAACCACATGAATCAATACGCAACTACCATATTTTTTCCTTGTAATTGTTCGCGAAAAAATGTTGCGTAAAAAGTTTCGCTGTTTTTCCACCCAGATCGAAATGTCATTTTGCGACACAAGGACCATAGTCACTAACTTATCCCAGTAAGGTAATATTACTTCTTTGCCATATTCGTGGTATGTATAAATCGTTTTAACACTTATCCTTTTTTGTTTGGGTCTTGCATGGCAATCGGGGATAGACGCGCGGATTCAAGAGGGGGTTTGTCTCTAACCACATATGTACATACGTACGTATGTACATATCAGTAACTAAAATTTGGAACTGATCTTATTTTTCAGATATTTAAAAATAAAACCAATTCCAAACTCTACGTACATACCTTTTAATTCTATACAATTTCAAAATTTTATACAATTGTATCCCAACTTGGTTATATCCCAATCCGAGTTATATCATTTTTTTATTAAACTAATTATAAGGTAATATAGGTATTGTGGCGAAGTTAACTTTATCGGCATGTATCTCAACTTCACGTGATTTATACATTCGATTCCTCTCGATGAGAGGTATAAAAATCTTATGAGTGATCACAGAGTCTTGAAATATCACGATTTGTATAAAATAGATTTTTTAAAGAAATTTAATGCTAAAGAGGGTATTATGACGAATTAGGGTTATCTCGTAATCCTGTGATCCAAATATAACGATTTTTATACAATTCGATTCCTCCCATCTAGAGGAATTGAATGATATAAAAATCATTTGATTTGGATCACAGAGCCATAAGATATTCTGATCTGTTTTTACTATATAATAAAAGATGAAGTAACTCGTGTTGCTGTGATCAAAATCGTTAGATTTGGATCACGGAATCACAAGATAGCCCTAATTCATCATAATACCCTCTTTAGCATTAAATTTCTTTAAAAGGATTTTATTTTTTATCGCCATAGCGATTATCGCTACTGAACTTAATTTTCGCGTCGTGTGATGTCAGAGTTCCACTTTTGATTAGTAATCAAAAGAGGTGCTTGAATATTGGAACACCGGAATCACAAGACACGACAACTAAGTTTTGGACCTTTGACTTTCGGAATTTGACATAAACCCGGGGTAGCGATATATTGAATGATTATTCGATAAGTTATTGATTTCAGCATGATCAATATAACATTTATTATTTACGGAGATAGTCTAAAACTATGTACGTACAGTATTCTCAAAATTTTTGCGGTTAATTGAGTACTTTTTAGCAGTGTTGTCACTTGGAAGATTACTGGAAGGCCACTGGAAATAAATCAATAGTGTCACTGGAACTTAAAGTTCTAGTAATATTATTGATTTACTTCCAGTGGCCTTCCAAGTAACGACACTGCTTTTAGGCATGGTTGTAGCAATAATAGTGGAAGATAATTTGGGGGTTTTTTTTCTTTATATATTGATGATCAATAATGTAATTAGCTTACACAATTCAATTATACATTTGAATAAATTTATGTAAAGCTTTTTTGTGTACCCATATTAAACTTAACAATTTCTGTTTTAAAAGTTTTGTCTCAGATTGTAACTCATAAAAATACCAGTCAGGTTTCTCTTAAATTAAAGTCTTAAAATATTTTATATATATCATTCAGGTTTAGTAGACTGGTTTTCTTACAAGTGGCAGAAGTCTTTTACCATATCCATATCTTTAAAATTGTTTAAGAACTCGACTTATTGAAGATTTGCTAACATCTAAATGTTTAGCAATTATTCGAACTTATAACTAAAATTTTTCGTCTATTTTCCAGTAAATATTTTTATCTGGTCATTATCGATTAATAACGATAATTGTCGCGGATCATAATGAAATCGGATTAAAATTAAAAGAGGGATTTCTATTTGACCCCTAAAATCCACTTATACTTGTTTATTATAAATTCTGCCCCTAAAATTTTTCTTAATCGTTTAATCGTTTAATTTGGCTGGCATTAAAATAATTCCGGCCCACGACCAACATAATTCTGTCCGGAACTATGGAGCAATTTTTAAACGGTTAACCGGTTCCAATCCCTACTAAACACTAATGCTAATCCTATTTGACATTATTACTTAACGTTAATTTGATTTCATTTTAATCCGTCAGTCTATTTGTTCCACGTGAGGTACAAATCTATTAGTAACCAATTTAAAACCCACGTACATACGTATGTACGCACATACCCGACTTTAGGCAATCTCCGTAAATAATAAACGTTGTATCAATAACTTATCGAATCGGCTGAATAATTAATTATTCAGTTAATGTTTCATAACGATAAGGTGTTCCAGGAATAAATGATAACAGCTGTAAAACGACAATAATTTGTGCATTGTGATTGGTTAATTACCATGAGAAATCACGGGTAAATTAACCAATTATATGAATGTCTTCCTATGAGGCAAATCAATTACCAGAGAAACTTTTTACATACATTACTTCGTTTGAGTGCTTAAAAAAACCATCTTTAAAAATAGCCTAAAATAATCTAAAAATAATCTAAAATTTAAAAGGCGTTAGTTTAGTAGCGCTTTTTTTAAAATGATAAAGAAAAAAGATTTGACTGCTTCTAATGCAGAGAAATATAAAAGCGAATTTGATATATTAAAGGAGAATCATAAGTAATTGAATTTATAATAGTTAATTCTTGAAAGATTAATAGCAACATGGTTTAAGTGACGTAATGGATTTTCTTATAGATTTCTTCGTTCTGAAGAAGATGAATCTGAATTAACCTGGGAACAACGGCTCGCGAAGAAATATTATGATAAATTGTTTAAAGAATATTGCATAGCGGAATTAAAATATTATAAAGAAGGCAAGGTATGTATGGCATTTTTCCCAAAAATCGATATTTCACCTTGAAAATAATATTTGACATGATTTTTAAAAAAATAGATTGCATTACGATGGAGAACCGAAAAAGAGGTTATAATAGGCAAAGGTTAATGAACCATTGCATTAATCTAAATCAAATCCGAACATTTCATAATTTATTATACTGTCATCTTTTTTTAGGACAATTAACTTGTGCTTCAACAAGATGTTCAGAAAAAGTTGATCTAAAATCTTGGGAAGTCAATTTTGCATATGTAGAGGATGGTGAAAAGAAAAATGCATTAGTAAAAATTCGACTTTGCCCAACATGCTCTTACAAATTAAATTATAATAAGGTTCACCAAGAAGTGGATAAGGAAGGAACATCAGAGATTAAAGATAGTGAACAAGATAAGCATGAAAAACGAAAAAGAAAATCTTATGATAGTGCTAGTGACCAAGAACAAGATATCAAGAGCGAAGGTAGGCAGGATGTAGCTGATGGCAAGAAAGTGAAATTAGGTATTTTTTTCCTTGCATAAAAGATATTAATTTTATATTATATTATTAACGTATATAATTAAATTTTGTTAGAAAAATCAAATGTGGAGTAAAGATGAAGAGTTTGATAAATATTTCTCTGGATCATTCGATTAGCAATCTATTTGTATATAAAAAATATACGTAAGCCATAATTCATTAAAGTTCATTACTAAAGATTCAGCGTTATTTTGTGTTGTACATCATGAATTTATGTATACAGTCACACCCCTCAAAGTGCATCTCGTCGGGACCATAGTGAAAAAAAATTTTGAAGTTTTGCATTTAGAGGGTGTTTGCATTTATAGAGAGTAAAAATATATAGGGCTCTTATGAAGTTTTATATAGTACTTGCACTTAGGGTGTGCGACTGTGGTATTAATGAAATATTTAAAATTTCAATAAAATACTGTTAGGAAATTGATGTTACAATTAAGGATTATAGAACCCTTTTAGGGCCGCAATCTGGACCCGGTCTGAAATTAATCAGAATTTCACCATTTGTTAAAATTCAGAAACTTCTATCTTTATTTATTTAAAAGTTATTATTAGTCTAATCTCTCATGAAAAGGGATTATTAATTTAAACCTTGTCTTTCTAGCTTTTGAAGTTAGAAAATAGTGTTTGTGAGGATTCTTTTACTTTTATATGATGTTTTATTAAAAAATATGCTAAAGCAGAGTTGACAATTTGCTCCAATGGATCCATTGGTCGATAGACAACAAAATCGCCAACTAGTAATGCAAACGTCTGATTCGGCTCGGCTTACGGTCAATTCTGACAAAGTTGAGCAGATTTTTCGGCTCACCCTGGAGCCGAGCCATTTATAGGCCGACAACCTCGAGCCGAGATGAACCTTTGCTCCAATAAAAATGCATGTCGTTTATTCAAGTTGCAAATGTTTAATAACGACACAACGATAACACGATAATTTTTTAAACCCGAATTTCTAGCTTAGTTGGCCGTGATCGGGTATTTAGACTTTTAGCTGAACCATTAGCCGGCTCAAGCCATTTGCGCTTTGCAAACTCCGAGTCAAAATCTTGATTTACATCAGCCAATTACATGGAGAAGCGTAAATCACATGATTAAATAATCTTTAATGTCGTTCTAGATCGCATATTAAACGTAATACGTATAATGACTACACGTTTATATCAAATTGCCGAGTTGAAAGGTATGATTCGTTTTTTCTACCCCCTGTTAAGAGATCTACTTTCATTCATTGTTATATGATTACTTAGGACACACGGATCGAGTATGGTCCGTTGCTTGGTCTCCCACCGGAAACGTCCTTGCCTCATGTGGAGGAGATAAAACAATTCGTTTATGGGTTTCTAACTCTGATAATGAATGGATATGTACCAATGTATTAGAGGGAACACACAAAAGGACAATAAGAAGTATTTCATGGAGTCCTAACGGGCGTCAGCTTGCCACTGCGAGTTTTGATTCTTTGGTCGGTATTTGGGAACAAGAGGAAGGAGGGGGTATTAGCAACAATCAATCTTTAAAGTGATTTTGATTGTTTTAAAATTAGAATCCTCAGGATACAATTATTCGTATTCTTGTTATTTAGATTATGAATGCGTTGCTACCTTAGAAGGTCATGAAAATGAGGCTAAATCTGTTTCGTGGGCAAAATCCGGAACGTTACTTGCTACATGTGGCCGTGATAAGAGTGTATGGATATGGGAAGGTAAATAACATTCCTATAAAAAAGATTATTCTTTATTTTTGCAATATTGCCAAGAAATATTCGGGATTGAAATTAGTCAAATAACTGAACTAATTCTATAGTCGACTAAATCCCTAGGAATCACCATCGATAATAAAATAAAGTACTTTTTATAATTATAGTCTTTACATACCAATTCGTACACCCCCTATCAAAGAACGGACCTTCTTTTAAATATATATTATGTGAGGTGGGTACGTTATTGATAGGGGTGTACGAAATTGGTATGCGAAACCTGTAATTATAGAGTATTTTTTTAGGGATTCTATTCGTTTTTATACCATTCCGAATATATATATTTAACAAACTTTTTTCATGGGCGTTTGTTGCGGCTGGTGCCGATATCGGCTGATGTTGAAATTTGGGAGTCCCTAAAAAAAAAAAAATATATATATATATATACCCGAAAATTTTAAAATTTCCATAAAAATAGGTTCAAATCTTTTTCATCAGTCAATCTCATTATCAACTGCAACAAAAAATGTTTTTTATTCATAAATATATTCGATTTATATTTACTTATAATTAACTGGTCACATTAATTTATTTAGTGGGAACTGATAATGACTTTGAATGTCTGAGTGTTCTTCAAGATCATACGCAAGACGTAAAGATGGTTATGTGGCATCCGACCAAAGAAGTAAATATTTTTGGAATTTAATTAGATCAAATTTAGTAGATATTCATTTTATTTTTTGAATAACTTTATTCGGAAATTAAAGATATTAGCATCAGCTAGTTATGATGACACAATTAAAATTTGGAAAGAAAACGATGATGATTGGTACTGTTCTGATACATTAGAGGGACATGAAAGTACGATATGGGCAATCGACTTTGATAAAACTGGTGAATATTTAGGTGAGTTTATATAATAAAGTTAGAATATTGGCAAAGTCTCGATAATAATTTATACTTATATCCATACATTAAATAGTATCCGCGTCTGACGATAAATCACTTAAACTTTGGCGTTGTTATCCTCCAGAGAATCGAGAAGGCATAATTACAGATCGAAATGAACCAAAATGGAAATGTATATGTACTTTGAGTGGATATCATCAACGATGTATTTATACAGTGAGTTGGTCAAAGGTTCATGGACGCATCGCTAGTAGTGGTGGAGACAACACAATCAGGGTATTTGAACAAGAAGAAAGCACAATTTCTAGTAACATGACAGATAAGACAAATTTTTCAATGATCGCATCAGTCACATCAGCCCACGGTGTTGTAGATGTCAACTGTGTGCAATGGTATCCTACCGAAAAGCATCCTAATTGGCTAGCTACAGCTGGGGATGATGGAATTGTTAGGATATGGCAATTGGCTGAAGATTAGCATTCAAATATGTTAAATAACAAGGTCTTGGTTTTTTTTTAAGGTTATAGATTGCATGCATTTATGCGTCTTTATGACCTTTTTTTTGGTTTTTTTTTTTTTAAATTGTAATAATTTATTTAGACTTTGTACCTATTCTAATAATTCGATTGAATAATGTTTGTATAATTATATTGCACACATTGATACATGAATTATATGAATTAATAACATGTGATCTATAATTTGTTAATTAAATAAATAATTCTAAAGGGGCGAATATTCGTCATTAATAATTGACATCCGTCCAACATAAAATAATACGCAAGCGAGAACAAAATTAAAAGCGGCAGAACTAGACGCGAGCATAAAACAAATATCAAATTTGACACCATAATAAAATCTATCTGATGTGTTGTAAAGATGTGCGATTAAGGACACAGTTGAAAGTTGCAGTAAAGCTAGTGTAAATCAAATTGTAAAATGTTTGATTAGTTGGTAAGGTATCACTAAAACTAAAAAATGATAAAAAATGACGTATATGGATTTTAAAAATACTAACATGTAATAAAAACAGCACCAGAAATGTATTTCCAACCAATTTGCTTAAGACTTCTACCACTAATGAATAATACGTAGAGTAAATAAAAAAATGTTACTCCACCAATAATACTTGCAAATATCATATCGGTTTTAGCAGCACTCCATTCTTCACAAAAACCATCTTCAAGACAGTCATCGTATTCATTAGATGGAAAAGATCGACAACCATCAGGGTCAAGGGTTGAACATTTCTGTTTAGTTTAGGATACAAAAATTATCAATATGCCAAATTGTTAACACTAATTGAGTGTTTATACATAACAAATTTTAATATGCTGCACCCATTTGCTAATTTGAGTGATGGTAAAAAAAAAAAGTGTATATTGATGTATTTCACCTTATCGGATTCGATCCCAAGGGAATCTGATCCCTACGAGACTGGTTTAACCATTTTAGTAGCTCTATTTCTCATTATCGTTATACATGAATTACATGATAATTTTTTAAAATCAATTCACCAACTTATTATTCTGACAAAACGCGTCGAAACGACTAGAGTACACACTGTTAAATCAATTTTTTACATGCCTGAATCCGATTAGATGAAACTTCACAAATCACTCATTTGAGACTTTGGGCTTTCAATCATATAATGTACCGGTCCAAACCCCTGAAATTTTTGATCAGCGACGATAATACGCAATTGAATTATCGTTATATTCGCTGATCAAAATTTTCAGGGGTTTGGACCGGTACATTATATGATTGAAAGTCCGATGTCTCACAGACACATTAGTAGTAAGTTTTACATTTTTGCTTACACTAAATAAACCATAATTTGTTAATGTTCGGTATGGCCTTGGGCTTTCAAAGAGTAACCTTTATTTGAATAACAAAAGAGAAAAATAGTTAAAATTGGATCAAAAATTAGGTTTGTCTATTCTATAATATATATATATGTTGTAGCTCACATATTACATAGCTTTAATTCAAAGTATCACTTTTCCAACGCAGACATTCGATCATAATATGTAGTAATCACCTAGCCGATTAAATTTGGCTGAGTAAAACGTAGGTAAACGAAAGGTAGAGATACAACATATATAAATCGTATAATAAAAGAAGCTAACCAGTTCGGCGTGATTAAGGCAAACAGGCTGCATGCATTAGTACCCAAGAAGGCTACTGCGGCTAACGAGTAGTAGACGACTCCAGGCATTTCTTTTATTATTTTGAAGTTATGAGGCGTTTTTTTTTCTTTTACTGTAGTTTTTGATTCCGAGTTCAATTTAAATATTAGAGTTTGCTGTTAAGACGGAGATTAGGTTGCCTCAATTTATACGTAGCGTAAAAGTGTCACGGTTTCAACTGATCTTAATATCCGATAATCATTGTTTATAATTAAACATTAATACGTAATTATTGGGCGCAAAATTTATTGTACATATTAGGTTGTTAAGGGTCTGGAAAGTTTTATTACGTATCAGTTTATCCTTTCTTATAATTAGGGATGTCAAAAATTCTTAAATACCTGCTAAAGCTGGTTTAAAGCACGAACTTTCAATTAATGCAAATGTGCTTTTTAAATTTGATGATTTTAAACTGAAACATGTTCTGATGTTTATATGCATTATTTAAAATAAATTCTCTTGCATACGTAGTACGTATTCGAAATTCGATGTGTGCATTTGTGCTCCGCACATGAAAAATAGGTTAACTTTTTCGTAATTGGTCAATTTTATTAAATTGAATTTATGCAATTTAGAGTACTTTTACCCTCTAACATAGTAAATTTTTTTTTTAAAAAATGTAACCCCCGTTTATAATACTACAGAAGACTCTTCAAGAACAAAGTTTTAAGTAACTTATATATCTCGGGTAGAGGCCTGCATTAGGTCCCGTGGCCGGGCCTGAAGCAAAATTTTATAACTGCGGGTCAGAGCTTCAGGTGAGAAACTCCCAAATATGGAGGTCGTCTAAAGCGGAGGCACATCACGTGAAGTAACTATGATTGTGATTGGTCGAATCTACTGAAAATCGAAAATAGTATTTCGATTTGTCAGCACTGCATTATTATTATTTCAGATCGAAAAAAATTTTTTTGAACTTTGAAAGACGATGTGTTTTTTCTATTTTGTTTTTTTTTATGAATTTTTGAAAAATTTATGTTTTTTTTTTTATTGCAAGTCAACATTCGAATATAAAACTTTAAAATCTTTAACTTGGTAACTTTCAAAAAAATAGATGTAAATTGTTTTTTTTTATACATAAGTTTGTATATAGCAATACTAGAGACAATACATATTTTTTTTTATAAAACTTTTGTTAGGTTGAGAGTAATAAAATTATGTATATAGTTTATAATATAAGTATTCTTTTTAATAATTTTTTATTTTAATTATCTTTTTGTTTTATTTTATAAAGATTACAGAAAATATATTTATTATCTTTTTCTTACCATTTAGAGATTGGTAAGGAAAAAAATAAAATAACAATAAAAAAAGAATTAATTTGCTTTTTGGTTATATCTGTTATGTCTGTTTTTTTGAGCATCATTTCTTTTTTTTTTTTTTTTAAATATTAAGGTGAGTACTTGCGACCTAGGATTTTATTGATAATATATTTGGCTAATGGTTGCATTACAACCACAGAGAGCAACCATGGGAAGAGTGTACAACTAGCCACTCATACAACTTTAGTCATTGTTTAATTTAAGTAGTCTGCCCGAAGGTTCTACACTAGCTGCCATACCTGGAACCCACTT